GCCCTGTTTGGCTGCAGGCTCGGACTAAAGGTCCAAAAGTTAGTAGACCCCATGATCCAGCCACGTGTCTGACATTGCGTGTACCATTCATGCCAATGCAATCAGACTCGTTCTCAAACACACTTTTCATGCATGTAAACAACAACGCAGCATACTGGCGACATGCGCCCACTCAAAACTCAGAGATATGACTTTCAGACACGAGTTCACTCTCAATCGGCTATGGCGACTTCAGCGCCCAACGACTGATGTAACTACGGGTAGCCCCTGAGTCTATAAGGGCCCCTACTCTACTTCTGAACACCTCTACATCTACCAAAATCAGCTGTCCCTTACTCTCCTTTTTCATTTTGGCCCAGGCTAGCATCCTCTCCTTTAACTCTTCTGCCACACCTGTGAGGGACGTGCCTAAAGAGACGCTAACACAAGCAGTCTCTGGACAGTTGTCTAGGCACGGCCTGCAACCTCTGCCATAGGCTCATGTGGGTTGGGAGTGTCCTGTTCGTGCGCGCTCACTTCTCCACATGGCCTGGAAGTAGGGGCAGTTGCGACCCCTACTGGCGGCTGCCTTTTGACGATTGAGCAGCCCAACGGGCCTGTCTATACTTTGGACAAAATTTAATTACGTGGGCCGGGTCACCACAAAACACGCACTGACCCAGGTTCACGCGTTCCTGCCATAAACGCTGGTCCAAGCCCAGATCTTCCCAGGGCCTGCCCTGTGGCAAGCCTGGGTGCCATCCTCCTTGAGGTGTCCTTCCACCTCCTCGCTGTGGGGACCGATTACCTTGGCGATTTAACGGGGGACCTTGACCCCTACCTCCCGCTTGGCGGTTTCCCTGTCCGCCAACCCCGTGTGCGCCCGGTCCTCGGCCTCCCATGGCCTGGCCCCTTTGGCCCTGGCCTCCTCCTCTACCTTGCGGCATCCCTCCGGCCGCGACAGCAGCGTAAGACCTCCCCTGCCCTACACTACTGTACTCCTCCCCTAGGCCCCACTCAATCTGTTCATATGGGACCTCTTCTGTACCACCCTCCTCTAATGTCAGGATCAAGTGATCCTTGGCCTTGACTTGGCCCGAGATGGTACGATCCTTCCACTTCTTCCCCTTCTCCAGGTCCTTATGCCAGAAAGTGGTAACTGGCATAGACTTCGACTCATACAGGACGACTTCTCTACTCAATGCATTGTAAGTGATGCCGGCTTGCTGAGACTTGTCAAAGAAATGCCTGCGTAGGGCCTCTGGAATGGCACGATAAAACAACTGGACCAAGTGGGGCTCAGTGACCCCATGGTCCGGGACGGCTACCAAGTCGTCCATGGTACCCTTGAGTGCCTTGGCACTCCTCCACTGCCGTGAGTGGATCGTTTGCAGCTTGTCAGAGGTTCTAATGCCTCGCGTTGGGTCAGCGAAACGCTCCTTGAGGAGCTTGMGGAATTGGGAAAGAGGGGTGACTTTGGAATATGCAACCAGGTTGTTTTCACAACCGGCTGTACGTGCAAGAGACCTGGCGAAGCTAGCCGCTTCATCTTTGAGGGCCTGGAAGGCCACAAGGACTTGTTCCTCTGTTAGGATATGCTGCAAGTAAATATAACTATTGACACTGGCTTCCCAATTGTCAAAGTTTTCTTCCTTCTTTCCCCCGTAGGCATGTGGGAACTTAAGTTTCACTGGGTCCTTACGGGGTCTGGCCTCTCCCTCTACAGCGGCTACAACTTTGGCACCCTGAATGGCGCCCTTACAAAACTTCCCTACATTGTCTCTCAATTGCTTGACTTCGCCCCCAATATGGGTGATGATCTCGTGCGCAAAGTCTCTAAACCCTGACCGCATGGCACTCAAGGCTACATCTAGGCTCCAACTAGCCTGGCGCTCTTCCATCCAAGCCTTGCTCAACACTTCCAGGTACCCCAGTACCTTGTCCCACTTGGCCTTATCATCTGGCTGGGCCCACACCTCCTGCCTGCACGCTTGCACCTTCGCTACCTCTGCAGTCATTTTACTCACTTCCTCTCTCCTCCTCTTCTTCTCTCGCTTCATTCTCAACTTCCATGCCAGTTTCTGCTCCTCCTCCCTTTCTCGCCTTTCCATTGGATCTGTCATTGTTGCTAGCTCACTGGCTGGCGCAGCCCTCTCATCCTCAGTTACATAGGACTCTGCCTCCTCCTCTTCGCCCAACGATAAATTAGCGACCCACTCGCTGATCTTCTTCTCCATCTCAATATCTGTCTCCCTCTTCATCGTGCCACCACTGCTTCCTTCTCCACTCTCAATCCTCATTCTCTCTTTCTCTTCTTCTGCTGCCGCTTCTGCTTCAGCAGCTTTTTTTCTTTCTTCCTCCTCTTGTTGTACTYTCTTCATCTCCTCCTCCAATCTCTTCATCTTCGCCGCCTGCTCGTCTGCGATAGCCTTTAGCTTCGCTTGCTTCTCACGCTCTTTTCTCTCCCTGTTCTCTTGGACTAAGGCGACCATCTTTTCTTGCTGCTCCTTACTATAGGGGCTAGTCTCTAACCCACTACGGGTCCCAACCATGGTGATAAGTGTACAACCGGGTTAGTGGTTCCAGACCTCACCACGTAGACTCTGACCCCTGACTGACAAACCTATAGACTCAATCTAAGAACCCACAGAATCCTGACAAGGACTTTGTCAACTATGGTCTCTAGCCTAGGCCTATGCTATGGCTGTCACTACTGAACCAGTGGCTGATCAGGAGGCATTTAAGGAGATCCCCCGTAACTCCTCAAGAATTCTTTAACGTCGCAGACAGGACGACGTGATCAGCTTGGTTCTGCCTGTGATTTCAGCCCACAACTCAGCCTTTCCRGCCTACTGTGCCACACCGAGCAGCCCGCCGGTCTGTACCGGTCCTTGGGAGGGTTTGACCTCCGGGACGGTCGAGTCGTCAGACACAGATCCTCAGCCTTACTTGGTCCGGTAGGGGAGTGGTTCAAACAGGCCCTCAACACTAAAAGACTGCCTGGTGTGTCAGCCCTAACTGCCGTTCAGGCCCACTGAGTCCTACCAACCGTTTCCAGCCGGTCAGCACCGGTCCTTGGGCGGGTTATGCCCCCCTGGAAAGTTGGATCAGCCACAGCCTTAGCCCTACAAGGTCAGACTAGGGTTTCGTCATCCAAGCCCTATCCTTCATCCACAGAGTACTATGACCTAGGACAAAAGAGATTCAATGCAGAAAGAATAGACAGACAAACTGTACTCAGCAAGTACCAGGGGTTATGTGCGCATCCATAGGGCAAGGGGTAGGCTAAGGGCTTGGCGAGATGTTACCAACTCCAACTTGGTATAAGTCTTGGTCAACGCCGGTCAACGCTATGACCCTTGGTCAACCCCCGGTCAACTCCGGTCAACGCCGGTCAACGCCTCTGGTCAACCCTCCGGTCAGCTATGGCTGCCGGGTCTCCTTCCTCGCCAATCCCCTTCTTCTTCTTTACCTCCCTCGCCTCCTTTTCCCCGCTGTCTTCTTCTTTCTCTTTTTTTTTTTTTTTTTTTT